CAGTGCGAGCCTCGTTTCCTTGGGAGCTGGGAGAAGGCTGGCTGCTCCTTTTGGCTTCACGGGATTCGTTTCCACGGTGCGCAAAAGTGCCTCAGCCGCGGGCAGCCGCAGTGCTTCCCAATTACTATTTGCCGGCGTATAAGACGACCCGGCATATAAGACGACCCCCCCAATTGGAGGCATGTTTTTCAGGGCAAAAAAGTCTTATACGCCGGCAAATACGGTATTTGGGAAAAAGAAGCATTTGCTGTCCAATGGGCCTTATTAACTTATTAACTCGAAGGAGCAAAAACACCCCTTTGAGGTGTGGACGGATCATAAAAACTTAGACGCTCTAAAAACACCTCGGAAATTGTCGCCTAAGCAAGTTCATTGGGCGCAATACTTTATGCGGTTTAATTTTTTTAATTGAAGTACCTCCCGGGGGGGGGGGGGGATTTTTTTTATGGCAGATGCTTTATCTAGATTACCCCAATATAACAGTGTCCACCCAGAAATGATCCATCCTATTGTTCCTACAAGGCAACTGGCTGCCCCGATGGTTATCAGAGCCCAGAAAAGGGGAGGTCAGCCTTCAAGAACCTTTCTTCTGCTTGTCTTTCTGGCTGCCATAGTAACAGGGGGAGGGAGGATAAATTGGGCTTTGTGGGAGGGGGGGAAGAGTGCTGGAGGCTTGAGTTGGGAAAACTTGGGAAAACTTTATGCTTGCTGTGCAGCTGCAGCATCTTATCTATCCAGGCCAAGGTCAACGGCCAGATGTCCGAATCACCACCTGAAGATACCCCACACAACATTATACACATCACGGATTGGATGGCCAGTTTGAACTGTTGTGGGTGGGAACAATGCCGTAACTTTGTATATGTGATTTTCGCGTCTAATGCCTCAGATCTTGAATTCTTTTGATGCTACCACTTGATTTCCAGTAAAAATAAATAAATAAAAGTCCCTTTCTCTATAACAATGGAGCCTAATGGTTTCTTTCTTGGATTTTGACCTGACAGCAACTCTAAGATGTGTTGGACTTCAATTCCCAGAATTCCCCAGCCAGCCATACAGATTGGGGAAGTCTGGGAGTTGAAGTCCACACGTCTTAAGTCACCAACTCTGAAAAACACATTAGACCGTAATTTTACTCACCTCTCCAGCTATTTCCTAATGTCCTACAAGCAAACTGGGATTACCTACCCTTTGGATAATTAATTCACTAGCTTGAGATTTACCACTCACAATTTATCTCCCCATACCTCAGTAATGGAAGGAGCACGAACCCCAGAAATAATTACACATCCAATGAACTGCCAAAGAAATACTTTTTATTTGGGGTAGCTGTATGTTCTAGGCATGTGCCAGTGACTTCTCGCCCTCAAACAATTAAGAAAAGAAACAAAAACAGAAGGAAATTTGCTGCAAGATTGCTCCTTCTTTCCCATTTTTTCTTCTTTGTTCCTTCAAATTCCATCTCTTCCAAAAAGCTTTACGTGTTTTGTCATGAAATTTGAGGTTGCTTGTAAATTGTTTTCTCAACCGTTCTTGAGTGTCAAGGGACACGGAGGCCAACTGGAACAAGTTAAAAATATAATCAACCCACTGAAAATATAGTGGTTCCTCCCCCACACACCAAATGAGTAAAAGAGTTAGAATCTCATCCTCAATGTTTTGGGTGCGTGCCTCATCTCTTAGCATCATCAGTGCTACATTCAATAGAGTTTACCATGTGGTTTGGAGTGGCCACTTACAGTGAATGCTTTTCTCCTTTTTTAAGTGGATCTTTCCTTCAGGTCTGGTGCTTGATTAAAATAAACGCAAGCTTCAACAGAAGCTTTTACCTACCTGTATGACATTAAAATTCTCATGTCCGTTTGTAAACTCCAATGGGGCGAAACAGTGCATCGTAAGGCAAGAATTTTTGAATCGGTGTACCTCAAACGGGGATGATTTAGAGCAGGGGTCTCCAACCTTAGCAACTTCTTCAACTCCCAGAATCCTGGGAGTTGAAGTTCACAAGTCTTAAAAGTTGCCAAAGTTGGAGACCCCTGATTTAGAGAATGTGTCCAAAATCTTGCCCCCCCCCCCCCATTTTCTGGGACAGCAAAATGATGTCCTCTTCATTAGCAGGACATCATTTGCAAGGAAATCACGGCCACAGGTTAAATTCAGAGGCAAAACTTCTCTGGAAGAGAGTTTGTAGAGATTATCCAAGTGACCCTGGAGAGCCACTCAAGAACAGACCAGGGAAACTGCCGTTTTTGTGATTGGTCACTGAGTGGAGCTGAATGGGACTTGAGGCACGGACTTTTACAAGTACTAAACTGAATTGAGCCCCATTTATGTTTTTGGATTTTTTTTTCTCCCTCGCATATGGGAGATTAACCTCCTGTTTTCATGATAAGGAGAACCTGAAGATTAAACAAGAACCCTTTATGATGTGCAGGCTTCAGCTCCCAGAATTCCCCAGCTAAAATGGGAGTTAAAGTCAATACATTTTCCCTGACCTGCCTGGCAGTTTACCTATCCTTCCTTCCTTCCCTCCCTCCCTCTCCTCTCCTTCCTTCCTTCCTGCTGCATCAAGTTTATACTTCCTGGTGGCTTTCCTGTTGAAATAAAAATGGACTCCGCACAAGGGAAAGATATCACAAGAATTGGGAAGGAGGCATGACATGTGCCACACGGGTCAGAATAGGTCAAGGATGTGTGTAGAGAATGTATGAGGTGCTGTGGAAGTCCAGGAGAGTACAGAAGTATGCAAAAGGTCAGATGGAGTACACAGGAATTTGGTATGAGTTGAGAAAGCTGAGTAGGGGTGCAGGACAGTGCCATGAGGTTGACACAGCACGCAGAACTGTGATGCAGCTAAAGGTATGCAGTGGTACATGAGGGGTAGGAGCCCAGAAGGGCTATGTGTGTTGTGTGAGTGGGGGAGACTTGCCTGAAAAACTTGTGACTTAACTTTCTGGCTTCTTCTTTGCCAAAGGTTTCAGGAGTGTTGGAAAGGACAAATGACTCGATAGAGGTGGCACGACTGAAATGGCCACAAATGTGTCAAATTTCAATTCCCAGTCACATGGGGCCCAAGTTTTGGATACATTCTGTATGTTAGCCCATTTGATGTATATTGATTGAAAAACTGTTGCCCCATAATGCACCATTTTACCCAACTGAACATTACAAACAGATCTGATAACTTTAATTAAGCATGTGGATAGACAGCAAGAAATCCAAAAGAGCAGGACAGCACTCTAGTGCCACCTAGAGGAGGGATTAACAGAGGAGCAGGTGAGCCCTACCTATAGGCCTACTTGGTTGCCATGGAAAACAGCTTGAACTCAGCCCGCCTCCCGCCACCTTTACAGAGGCCCTATATGTTTGCACACTGGGCCAAAATGAGCCAATGAAGTGAGAAAGCTTTTTAGGGCTTCTAGGTAGGTGGGACCTGGAGGCCATTTACAAAACCGACAGCGGTCCATCTTCTGCAGTGGAAAAATGGCGCTTCACTATAGAATGGGCCTGGTGGGTTCCTGCACAAGCTTCAACAGGAAGAGCTTCAGGAAGAGCTTCTGTGTGATGGTTTGGCTCCTCAGTCCAGAAATTAGGATTGAGGTATTATTATTCCAGGCAGGAGAAAGATTTGCACGTTTATTTTCTCCTCCCACCTGTAGCAAAATAGAAAAGGGGACCCAGAGGTGAGAACGGCCAAAAAACAAAGCGTGAGGAATGGGCTACCAATGATCTTTCTCTGCCCAGTAAGAAGTTGAATCTCTTGAGATTAGCTTGACTGACAGCGAGGTCCGGACCGCCCCCTGAGGTATGTCACGACGTGCAAATTGGGGGGGGGGTCATCCCCCTTATGAGCGGCTTCACTCCTGCAGTCAGCGGAAGTTGACTTGGCGGATTTGATCCCAGAAGAGAAGGCTGAGGATCGTGTGCGGCCCGATGCGGAAGTAAGAAGCCCCCACTCCTTTGTAGGCCCCCCAAAAGCCCTCGGTCCGGATGATTTGGGCCAGGCAGTCCAAGAGTCCTTTGTACATCATGCCCTGCCATATAAGAAAAGGAAACTATGAAGAAATCAAGCTCAGTGGCAAATTAAGAGCACCCCACTTTTTTTAGGTTATCCCTCGCTTTCAAGGTCCCATTCTCCCAGCCCCTCCACCTTAGATTTTGGAAAACTGGTTTCCTTGTTTTTTAAAAAATTTATAAAAATGAACAAAACCACTAGCAGGTTTTTGCAAAAGTATGGGGAGATGAATTCAATATAACCTTCGAGTTACAACGGTTCATTTAGAGTTTGGAAGATTTAAAAAAAATTAAAAAGTGGAATTAAGAAAGGGTTAACAGCGAAGCTGGGTCTTAAAAAAGATTAAAATCACATCAACTGGACCAAAACAAGTTTATTTATCTGAGATGTTTGGTTATTCATCCAAGTAAAGTCCACCAGTCAAAATTTAAAAAAAAAGTGGGGAGAAACCCCTGCAGTTGGTACATTCCAATGACAATGTCCACCTAACTAATTTTTATTTATTTATTTTGACTGATGAAGTTACTCAGATGAGCAACGAAATGTCTCAGATTAACAAACTTTGGTCCAATTTTGCCATGATTTTAACCTTTTTTAGATACTTTTGGGCCTGGATTATTGAATTTTCATGGACATATTGCAATACATTTTAGGGAGGAACCCCTGCAGTTGGTGTGGCAAGAGTTGGTACATTACAACAACTCTAATTCTCTTCCTAACTACTTTTTTAAAATTTATTTTGACTGATGAAGTTACTTGGAAAAGTAACAAAAAGACTCAGATTAACAAACTTTGGTCCAGTTTTGCAATGATTTTGACCTTTCAAGATATTTTTGGCCTGGATGATTGAATTTTCATTGATGTACAGCGAAGCTGTGGAGTTAAGCAACTTGTCTAAGGGACCCCTGAAACCAATGGGGTGAATGAATCAAGTGGAAGTCACAAGTTGGGTGACCGATTTAATGAACCCAATTCCAAGCAATTTATAGGCAGTCCTCGGCTTATGACCATGCTTGAGCCCAAAATTTCCCTTGCTAAGCGAGATTGTTGTTAAGCGAGTTTTGCCCCATTTTTCATGACCTATCTTCCCACAGTTCTTAAGTGAATCACCGCAGTTGTTAAATGAGCAACACGGTTAAGTGAATCTGGCTTCCCCATTGACTGGGGATCGCGTGACCTTAGGACACTGCAAACATCCCCAATATGAGCCATTTGCCAAGGGTCTGAATTTTGATCACATGACTTTGGGGATGCAGCAGTGGTCGTAAGTATGAAACAGTGGCCATAAGTCACTTTTTTCCAGTGCTTTTGTACTTCAAACAATCACTAAATGAATGGTTGTCTCAAAGGTTGCTTTTTCAAGAGGCAAGTGGACTTTCTAGTTTTTCTTTGAAGACGTTTCGCTTCTCATCCAAGAAGCTTCTTCTATTCTATAAACTTCAGAAATGAAGAAGCTTCTTACCGTGTTTCAGCAAAAATATGACCTACCCCTGAAAGTAAGTCCAAATGTCAAGCATCCAGAAAGTATCCATGATATCAATTACTCCGAGATGTTATCTCTCCAATTGATTTATTAGGAACAGATCTGGCAAGTCAAAAGCAATTTCCCAAATAAAAGTTTTTGGGTGTGTTACACAGAACCCACCTTCTCTCCTCCCTCCTCTCCTCCCACTTCTACACTTCATAAATCACGAGAACCAGTTAACTGCAACTGGAAATTCTTAATACAACACACAGAATAACCTTGAACTTTTCAACTCCTCTAACTCTCTAAAAACAAATGTGGCAGCTGAATTTCAAAGCTGACAGGCGTTCCCTCTTGAAAATTCCTCCTCCTAAAAGAAAAAAACACCACACATATAGGGGTTAATACACTGTCCTTAATCCCCTCTCCCCACTCCAAGAGGACCCTTCGGTTTGTGGGGAAAATCCTCATGGAATTGGTTAACCAATTGATCAGCATCAACATTCCAACTCTTTACCCAACTAGCATCTGAGAGGAGGTATCCTTTCCATAAGACCAAATACTGCAATTGGCCATGGTGTAATCTAGAATCAAGAATTTTTTGAATCTCATAATGTGTTTCCCCATGTACCGTCAATGGTTTAGGGGGAGCAAGTGGTAGTGGTCTTATCATTGATGTAGTAGCTGGTTTTAGTAAACTACAATGGAACACTGGATGAATTTTCCCCAATAGTCGAGGAAGACGTAATTGGACAGTGACCGGATTGATTATCTTTGAAATTGGGAACGGACCCAAGAATTTTGGACCCAGCTTCTTACTGGGCAGTTTCAACCTAAGATACTTGGTCGACAAATATACTTTGTCCTCTACTTTAAAAGGCGGTTGAAGGGATCTATGTTTATCCACCTGTTTTTTATAAATTTTTGCAGCTTCATTCAAAGCTTTTTTTGTATCTTCCCACCCTTTCTTTAATGAGTTCATCCATTCTGTCAGGGACATGGATGAGGGAGGTTGTCTAGGTAACTCTGGCATCGAGACAAAATCCATTCCAGTGTTGATTTGGAATGGAGTCAATCCCGTGCTGCTATGTACTGCATTATTGTAAGCAACCTCTGCAAAAGGTAATAACTCAACCCAATTTTCTTGTTGATATTTTACATAGCATCTAATGTATTGTTGAATCATGGCATTAGTTCTCTCTGCTGCTCCATTACAAGCAGGATGGAGAGCTGAGGACAACCCTTGAGAGGAGCCAATGGATTTCAGAAATCCCTCCAAAATTTTGCAGTAAATTGTTACCCCTCTGTCTGATATTACTCTGCGAGGTACACCATGTACTCTATAGATATGTTTCACAAACAGCTTTGCAAGTTTTTTTTGCAGATGGAAGCCCTTTGCAGGCTATAAAATGGGCCTGATTAAAGAATAAATCAATTATAGTCCAAATGACCGTATTCCCTTCACTCTTAGGTAATTCAACAATAAAATCCATTGTGATTTCTTCCCAAGGTTGGGTTGGTTCAGCAACTTGTTACAGGAGGCCAAGGTGTTTTCCAGTTCTCTGTTTCATCGTGGCACAAATTGAACAACTTTTTACATAGTCCTCAACATTAGGTTTCATTTTTGGCCACCAGAACTGTCTTCTTAGTAAATGTAGGGTATTTAGGAATCCGAAGTGGCCTCCCAGCCGAGAGTCGTGGCTAAGCTTTAGTACCAGTAGTCTTAGGGTTGTGGGTACATAAAGCTTAGTCCCTTTCCAAGCTAGTCCATCATTCATTGTCAACTCGGTTTGATGGTCCAGGAACCAAGGATCGGTCAATAGGGTCATTTTCAATTCTGCAGTCAGCTTATTTTCTAGGTGTTTGGGGTTGAGGTTAGCTTGGGTTCGAGTGGTTACTTGGCCGGCCAATTGAGTGTCTGAAATTAAGGCTTGTACTATTTCCTCTCAGTGGCTGTCAAACTGAGGTTTTCTGGACAGAGCATCTGCCAGTATGTTTTTCCCTCCGGGGATATATTTAATGTTGAAATTGAATTGCTTGAAATATTGGGTCCAGTGGACTTGTTTGGGCAATAATCTCCTAGGGGTCTTTAGAGCCTTGAGGTTCTTATGATCAGTCCATACCTCAAAGGCCTCTGGCACCCCTTCTAGAAAATGCCTCCAAGCCAATAAAGCCCATCGTACGGCGAATGCTTCTTTCTCCCAGATCTCCCACCTTCGTTCTGCGTCTGTCAGCTTTTTGGACACATAAGCGCACAGCATCAGTCGGCCCTGAGAGTCTTTTTGCAGAAAAACGGCTGCCACCACTACATCACTTGCATCTGTTTGGACAATAAAAGGCTTGGTCGCATCTGGGTGCTTGAGGATGGGCTCCATTGCAAAGAGGCGTTTTAATGTCTCGAAAACTTTCTGACAGTCCACAGTCCAAGCTAGGGGTTGACTCGGCTTTGGTTTGATGGGTGATGGGCCCGTTTTTAATAGCTCTGTCAACGGGAGGGCAACTTCAGCAAAGGACGGAATGAATTGTCTATAGAAGTTGGCAAACACCAAGAAACTTTGGAGTTGTTTTCGGGTTCTGGGGGGTAGTCAGTCCAGCACCGCTTTCACCTTTCCAGGGTCCATTTCAATCCCCAGGTTGGATATTTGGTAGCCTAGGTAGTCTAGTGACTCTTTGTGGAATTCGAATTTTGAAAGTTTCACATATAATTTGGCAGCTAGAAGTTTTTCTAGAACCTGTCGGACCAATTGAACATGTTCTTCCATGGTTTCGCTGAAGATAAGGATATCACCAGGTACATGAGGACCCCCCGGTAAAGGTGCAGGTGTAGCACCTCACTGATGAGCTGCATAAACACTGCAGGAGCCCCCTGAAGTACGAAAGGCATGACTTTGAATTGGAAGCTACCCAGAGGGCAGTTAAAAGCAGTTTTCCACTCATCTCCCTCTTTGATGTGGACCCGGTAATAAGCTTCCCTGAGATCTAGCTTGGTGAATACTTTGCCCTTCGACAGGTGATTCAGTAAGTCCTTCATAAGAGGGAGAGGATATATGTTTTTGACGCATACTACATTCACGCCTCTAAAGTCAACACACAATCTCAATCCGCCATCTTTCTTCTCCTTGAACAACACGGGGGCAGCTAATCTTGATTTGGCAGGCTCAATAAAACCTCGTTCCAAATTGCTGTCGATGTACTTCCTTAATTCAGCCATTTCAGCAGGCCTCATGAAATACATCTTTGGTTTTGGTAATTTCGCCCCAGGCTCTAATTCTATGGTGCAATCAGTGGCTCGATGGGGAGGTAAAATAATTACACTCTTCTTCACTGAATACTTTAGCCAAATCTTTGTATTGGTCGGGTACCTGGTGGTTATCTGGGAGAAGGTGGGATGCCATGGATGCTGGCTCTGGGTTTGAGCTGACTGGTGGCTTTGTAGTGGGTGGAAGAGGGGGCAATGAGCCCGGTCCAATGTGGATTTTTCTGAATCTATCCTCCCATTTGATCATTGGGGCCCATTTGTCTAACCAAGCAAGTCCCAGTATTATTGATTCTGA